GGCAGGAGATCTTTCAAAAAGAAAGGAGTGCATCATAATTGCCTCTTTCTCTGTCTTTCTTCGTGGATTTCCTTTCTTCTGTCCTTTAGTTCAGTGGCCCTCAGACTTCAGGGCACGTAAGAATCGCCCAAGGAGTGCGAAAAAATGCAGAGCCCAGACCCCACCCCATGCCCGCGGTTTCAGAACACCTGCTGTACGGGACCCATACATCCCCTTGATAACGGGAGCCTGGACTGCTTGGTGAATCTCCTCGTCCAGGCCTCTGACATCTCCCTTCTTACCCGCACCTTCTGCCTTTCAACGGAACTGGCGACCTCCGCTTCATCCTGGAAGTTCCCCAAGGACACAGGCCCGAGTCCAGTTTCCCTTGGGGGTTTTAGTTCCCATGGGCTCCCCAAAAGCTGTTGTTAGTTAGACGCTAACTCCTCTTCCTTCTCAGCCCCTGGCCTCCACCTGCCTGCGCGGATGTGATGTGTCACTGGTCTCACCAGCCAGGAGGGAACCGGTACCCTGGCCCAGTGTGGCGGCACTCACAGTTCCGTGGGGTGTCAGACTTCCCTGGGTAACCTGCCTCAGGTCCCCAAGTAAGGCAGGTGCCGTGCGCCCGCAGATACCCAGGGCACCTCCGCCGCCGAAGGGTCCGATGTCTGTCTCACGCGTCTCTCCCTGGCCGTGTTGTGGTCCGGGCAACCTGGCAGGGAGTAAACGACAGGTGGACGGATGGGCGAAGGGCCGGGCTCCGGGCTCCCTCGTGGGTGGGTCTCCTTCCAGGCCTCCCACCCGCGATCTCAGTCAAAGCTCATCACGTATTGGTGATGCAAGACCTTCCTTTAGTGTTTGTGTTTCCCTAACACTTCTTTTTAGATAGTGCTCCTGCGACCATCTCAGTGGGAGTGGGAGGTGGACTTGCCTGATGCAGAGATGTTTGGGGGGCAGAGACTTTTCTTGTCACTTTTTTTCTTGTAAAACAGGCCAAATATTACAGGATGGTGGTGGGGAATCTGAGAATACACGGGTGACTATGATTTCTCTCTGCGGTGGAGAGGACTTAGGATGTGAAGACGCGTTTATAAACTGCTCCAGGTGCTTAGCTAGGGAGGAGGTAACATACAATGAGCAGATACATTATTTGGAACAGATCAGTCAACATACAATGCTTCTATTACTAGTTTGTCATAAGTGCTATAATTAGGCTTTCTGAATGCTGCGACTTAGAAAACAAATAACTAGTTAGATTTCCTCATTTTTTCTCTCCCTCTGTCCATTCCCCAGCTTCAGTTCAATGGCGATATGAGGCCTGGGTTAAGGTGAGGGAACACTGTTTACTTGATGACATGCTGGAATCTTCTATGTGCAAGATTTTCCCTGAGAGGAAGGTCCAAGGGGGTGTAGGGAGGGGGAGCAGAATCAGCCTCGTGGACTGAATCAATCCAAAGGGTGGAAGGAATATCGATTTGACCCCCCCCAAAAAAAAGAAAGAAAGAAAGAAAGAATCCCTGGCTGGCATAGCTCAGTGGATTGAGCGTGGGCTGTGAACTAAAGTGTCACAGGTTCGAGTCTCAGTCAGGGTTCATGCCTGGATTGCAGGCCATGACCCCCAGCAACCACACATTGATGTTTCTCCCTCTCTTTCTCCCTCCCTTTCTCCCTCCCTTCCCTCTCTAAAAATAAATAATAAAAATAAAATCTTTTTAAAAAGGAAGGAAGGAAGGAAGGAAGGAAGGAAGGAAGAAAGGAAAGAAAGAAAGAAAGAAAGAAAAAGAAAGAAAGAAAGAAAGAAAGAAAGAAAGAAAGAAAGAAAGAAAGAAGTCGGAAAATGAGAGGAAAGAACCAGCTAGGGATGAGTGACAGTAAGTAAAGTAGGCCAAGGTCAAGCAGAAGCACCGCCTAGGACCCGGGATGGGAATGGCAGAAGACTTGAGGGAGAGCTTGTGTTCTCTCTAAGGGTTCTTGGAGAAGGCAGAGGACAAGCTCCACCCTCCGAGGCGAAGTGGGTGGGCCAGGCCTGGCTGCGTGTGGATGGGCCATTTTCCATCGCCCCTGTGCCACACGGTGCACCCAAAAGCTTTGACAAGACGAGGGAGGGTCACAGACTAGGCCGGAGCGATATGCTGTGATTTTTTTTTTCCAAACGCAGAAACATTTCACAAATTGCCCAGCAGTTCCTCTGCTGGGCTGGGGGCTGCTGACCCAGAGCAGTTGACAACAGAGGACAGCTGGCACCGTGGGTTGTCGGTTCTTGGTCAGCCAGAGCAGGGGTGTGGGGAGCCTGCCGTTTCCTCCTGGCCTGGTGGCCTCACTGTGGCCACCAGACCAAAGCAGAGTCGCTGGTGGAGGCTGCTCCGCTGTCTTCTCACCTCATGCATGAACCACTTCTACTTATAACACAAGATCCGAAAATGCGGATTCGTATGATCAGGCGGTGGAAATAGAAACAGTGGGAATGGGTATCATCGCCCGAGGGGGGGAGGGCTGCTCGCCAGCGCAGAGGGAGCGGAGCAGGGCAAGCACACTTCACTATCAAGCTCCTCCTGTAAATATTTGCAAACGCCCCTTCAAAGCTCAAAAGCCTGGGACAGGATCATTGGACGATGTGCTTAGAGGAAGGAGAAACAAAATTGACCTCGTCGCCCGCGGCAGCCATAAAAAGAAAGAGTGTGTACAGGCAGGAGACCAGAAAGTGGGGAAATGGCTCAAAGTTGAATAAACACAAAAGAGAATAAAAATAAATCTCCAGAGCACTTATTTACACACTTGGTGGAAGGATGAGATGGGGAGGGTGATGTGAAAAATGGGTGTTGGTGGAAGGGGCCCGGGGGTTGCACTGAAAGGCAAGGGGGGAGATGAACTAAACGTTTGCGCTGTCTGATGGCAGGAGACGCCCCGGATGAGCTCTGCTCTCCCAGGACGCCCTTTCAGAGCAGGTTTGCAGCCTCCGCTGTCTAACGGAGAGGCCGTGGGGCCGTGAATGCAGCCCCTGGGCCCGTGGAAGGGTCTGGCCAAACTAGAGTGGATGCAGAGCCGGAGCGTGTGGCCCAACCCTGCCCAGGCCTCTTCGCTTGGGCCTCTGACCTGCGCTGGGCAGGCTGGTGCCAACCCGTCTGGTCGCCTGCAGGGGGCAGGCTCCGAGGAGAGAGAAATCAGTTTCTTCTCCGCAGCTACCTTTTCGAATTGCTATGCCAGGGACTCCAAACGTTCCTCCTGCTCGAATGACTGCTGGCCCGCCTGCTATCTGCTCCCCAGCTGTTTCACAGCACCGTGCAGCGGGCCGTCAGTGTGTCAGCGCATGTACCTTCTTGTCCCCAGAACCCGGATGATGCTTTAGGCTTATGGGCTTGCTTGTCCGTTCATTTCTTTGTTTCTGAGACTGCTGGCTCACGGGCTTCCGAGCCCCAGTTCCCACGGTCGGTCGTCTCCGAAGCAGCCACGAGCAGAGCAGGGCTCGCAGTCCACCACTCACCCGCCCGTGAGCGGCTCTCTGGGAACCCAGCCCCCGCGGAGAGCAGGGATGGAGTCCGGCTCCCAGGCTCACAGGGCGGAAGAGTGAAGAGCCCTTCCGATCGGGAAATGCCAGCGTGTCCCCAGCACTTTTTCCAGTGTGGCCGTCAGGACGTGGGTTTCTCAAGAAATCACAAACGGTGTTTCCTTCTGTGTTAAGATCGGCAAGTGGCTCCGGTACTGAGTCGGAGCTTAGCTTTGCCCATAGCCAGATGCCCGAGCCTTCCAAGGCCCCGCTGGCGATGAAAGAGGCAAACCGTGGTTACTCGGGAAACTGCACGCGTGCAGAGCCCTGTCCTAGATGTGGGGAGGAGAAAGACTGGGCAGACGTGGCCTCTGCCCTCCAGATGCTTGACACTGCGTGGGGTGGGGGAACAAAATAAACAAACACAGTGCAGGCGTAATCAAACCATTCGTCCAGAGCCATCGGCAGCAGCGAAATGATTCTGTGATACTGAAGCTGCGTCATTCGGGACAGGCTAGAGGAGGGTCACGAAGCCACTGGGGTTGGATAGAACATTCCAGAATACTGAAAGAGTGTTCGCAGGAGGTTTTGGAAAAGGGTTGGGGAAACATCTGTACCGAGTGGCCTGTCCAGTGTAGGTACTGAATAAACGGGCGTGGCATGGGCCGATGGGGGTGGACCTGGCCCTGCTTTGCTTTTGGCGTAGCCTCAGTTGCATCTTCAAAGCAATGACAGACGACCACAGAATAACCACAAAACTCTAGCCACCCATGAGCTTGAAACTGGTATGTGCAATCTGCATCTGTGTATCTTTCATGGCTCAGAACTGATGGAATTTGGGCTGATGCTTTCTCTTTATTAGCCAAGGTCCCCTTGCCCAACCACCATTATTCTGAAAAAAGAATTTTAAGACTGGGCCTGGAATAGCCTGTGTATGGGTATAGCTTTTTTTTTTTTAAATCAAATTTCCTCGTCCTAATGTAACTAGAGGGTGTATTTGGTCACATGTTTTAAAAACCAAACTACTGAGGCCAAAAAAAAAGACGCAGTACATGAACCTGGATAGAGTAGAACATTTGGATGCCAACATTTCAAGGGGAAAAAAATACACGGGCAAACTGCTTGCCATTAGGAACTATTTTCTCGGCACATGTGATTAAAGTGTCTGTGAGTCTGACAGCTCGCTCCAGCATCAGCCGTCACGAACATACTCCGACTCACGGCCATCTAGCGCTTTCCACGGCTGTGTCAGCGTTCAAAGGACAGGGTTAACTGTGCACCCACAAATGGGGCTGGAAGTGGTTTGTTAATCTCCATTAATCTGCGACTCCTGTAACCAAATGCACATGTTTATTTTATTTTTTTTTTCCGAGTTAAATGGTTAATGGTATGAAATTGGCCATTGAAAACAAAATCATTCTGTAGATGTGTTCCTTATGGTGGTGTCTCGAGACCATCTCAAGCTGCGTTGTTTTTTTTTTTCGAGTGAGAACAATGGGTTTTTCTCGTTTTCAACGGCCGCCCTCACTCTTTGCAGATGCCATCCCGCCCACGTTCTACAGACCCTACTCCAGAATCGTCCGCTTCGACGTGTCGGCGATGGAGAAGAACGCTTCCAACCTGGTGAAGGCGGAGTTCAGGGTGTTCCGCCTGCAGAACCCCAAAGCCAGGGTTCCCGAACAAAGGATCGAACTGTACCAGGTAACCTCCCTTGGGGCTGTCTTCATGGACCATCCGCTCCAAGGCTTGGGGTAACATTCTTCCCATTCTCTTCGATGTTCTGAGCCGGTATAAACCATCCTGCACGTCCACAAGGGTGGCACGGGCCCTCCTTTGTCATTCCTAAAGGAAGAACCTTTGGAAGGGGGTGGTGGCTCTCTGAGCACCCCTCTGCAGCAGTGTCGATGGCTGGGGTACCCCCCTCGGGGGAGCTCTCGTCCAGAGTTTCCCCCTCACCTTCAAAGTCAGATACCCTGCCACCCTGGGTCCGCTTCCACCCTGAAGAGAGAAGCCACGTACTCTCCTTCCTCTGCCGTCCTCGACCTGTGACTGTTGTCCCTTCCTCCTCCTCTTTCATCCTCCTTCCTACTGCTGTCTCTCTCCCTCTTCTGTATCCTTTTGTCTTCCTCTCTCTCCCTTGGCCGCATCCTCTCTGATTTCTCCTGCCGCCTCCCCCCTTGCCCACCCTCAATCCTCTGCCCACCCCCGTCTCCTGCCCTTCTGGGCCTCCCTGCTGTCTCCCTCACCTCGCAAGTCCAGTCACTGGGTTGCCGTGTCAAAGGGTGAGGAGGGTGGCGGAGATTTCAGAGATGCTCTTGAAAGCGCGTCACCCAAGTGACGCCTGCCGTCGGGAGCATGCACGTCCCCTGGGAGCTGTGACAAATGCAGAGTCTCAGGCCCCGCCCAGCCACGAGAATCAGGGGAGGGAGGCAGGCCTGTAAACAGGCACCTTCGGTGCGTCCTCGTGTCAAGGGAAGAGTGCGGGTCAGTGTGGAGGGCAGAGTCAGAGGGGAGTTGACATTTGGGCGGGGCCTCGAGAAGTGTCTGTTTTCACAGGATCATTGGTTCTTGTTGGAAGTAGGAGCAGCTTGGGCAAAGACGGAGTCTTGAAGGATTGAGGGTACTAGACAGAGGGTGCTGAGTGGCTGGAGGTGAGGAGAGGTGGGGAGAAGGTTGTCCCTCCAGGGAAGCTAAAGAGGATCGAGAACAACCCCCCACCCCGTTCCCAAGAACCCCAACATTAAACAGTAGACATGTATGACCCTATGAACTAAGAGTGGGTTTGCTTGCAAAAAGGAAGGAATTGACTTTGTACGAGGAAAACTCCAATTGTCTTGCATTCCAAACATTTGAAAATTTCGGTAGTTTGGATAAGAATTCTCTTTGTGCTTATTAAGAACATGAATTCCCATGCCAGAAAAGAAAACCATTGTGTGTGAGATCTCAGAGAATAAGTTTAAAGTTGTTAAGACAGTCTTCCAGGGCCAGCTTATGGCTTCTCCATGAGCCAGATCTCCTGTAAGCACTCTGTAGGTAATACTGTCACCTGCGCTGCCGAGTTTGCATGAAAAAATAATCTATGGAGATGTCATTGACATAGCACATCGTATCAGTTTTAGGTGTGTAGTATCATGATATGATATCTGTATACATTGCAAAGTGATCACCACAGTCAGTTCGATGAACACCTACCACCTCACGTAGTTACACGTTCTTCCCCCTGTGATGCGAACTATGACGACCTGCTTGCTTAGCAAGTCTCAACTGCAGGACACAGGGTGGTCAACAATAGTCCCCATGCTGTGCGTTACAGCTTTAGGACGTTTTTATTCTCTAACTGGAAGTTTGTACCTTTGGACCACCTTTACCCATGTAAGGTCTTCTCTTTTACTACATGTTCCCCCTCCATTTTACAGAGAAAGACACTGAGTCACAGAGAAATTAAGTCACTGGGCCGGAGGCACGCAGCTAAGAAGTGGCAGGGCCGGGCACACAGCTGCCTGCTTCTGACCGCACGCCGTACTGTTCGTGGTGCATCTTCCCCTTTCTCTTCACCACAGTACGGCCAGAATAGAAGAAAAATTAAAACCAACTAGGCTAGCCAGAGGGTAGAGTGATATTTGGAGGGAAAACAAAAAGCAAAGCCTGGGTTCTCTGGAAAAAAAAAAAAGCTAGTTCAAAGGTAGCCAGCCACATTTCCAGGTGGTTTAAAAAAAATAAAAACAAATCCATGCTGATGTGTCCTCTTCTTTCTTCTTTTTCAATTAAGTCACCCTGGCATGCCTCCCTGTGCGGCCGGCAGCCTCGTGGATGGCTCCCTGGCCCTGTCCCAGGGACACGACTCTGTCAACGGAAGGCAGGGCCTCTTAGGTTTCCTTGCCTGTAACAGAAGCTGCTGAATCCCTGTTCTTCTTTGGCCTTGACCTTCTGCCCTGTGCAGGGGCCTCTGATAGTGGGATTCCTGATAGCTTGCCTTACCACCTCATCTCCGGGAGGGGACGTGTCCAGTGTCCCTTGAGCCTGGCAACTGGAGGACCTTAGTGAGTTAATGGCTCTGCCTCCTCAGAGGTCACTTCTGCTGTGGCCGCCCTCTGGGACGAGCAACAAGATCTTCCTGGACTGGGGTCCCCCGGTAGCAAGGGAACCCCAAAGGTGGAACTGTCTGGGCAGGATGAACATGGACGTGCCCATTGTCACTGAACACAGGAACCCACAAGGAGGTCATTGTAGAGAAACAATAAGGAAGAACAGCAACTGCTTATCCATGTGAGGCTCAGCTAGGCAGCAATCTAACCTCAGAAGTGCAGCCCAGGTCCAGGGGTCAGTCAAAGAGACCCCCAAATCCGCTGACCGTCACGATGGGCACAGGCAGCCGACTCCCTAGAAAGCCAACCTTGGCCCTGGGCTCACCTCTGCCTACGCAGCTTCTCTCTGGGACCACAGGGAGCTGGAAGCCCGGAATTAAGGGTTGGGGGCTGGAGGAAGACACCATCAGGAGCAGATAACCCTTTAGACTTTGAGATTCTTGTCTGCACACCAGTGCTAACGGCCTGCTGTGGACCATTTTCCTAAATCTTACCCTCTTCACAGTTGACCAGCTCTTTATCTCTGTTGCATCCTCCATCACCTCCGATAGATGAAGGGGAAGAGGAAAGGAAAAGAAATAAAGGTGAAAACTGAAGTTTTTACAAGTAGGAATCCTTACGATCTTTATGTTTTTAGAGATTTATGTCAAAGGTAGTCTTTATTGGGATGCTCAGGAATATGCTCAGTGCCCTGGGAACACCTTTGAATTTCCAGTATTCGGTGTAGCTCTCGGCTCGTTCAGAATGTGACTTCATCTTTCTTTGGTCAGTTGCTCTTGATCCATGATTGAAGTCATGCCCAGAGTTATGTGAAGGAGAAAAGAACAGAGAAGGGGGTCTTCTTCACACTGAGTATCACCGACATGGGCAAGGGTGCCCACCCTCCTGCGCTGGGGTGAGGCCCCTGGGTCACAAGGGAAGACCCGAGGCCCCCAAACTAACAACTTATGGAAGGGCACCCATGACCTTGGGATCCCATGGGACAGCCACAGAACTGCTATTTGGATGTGCTGACCTCAGAGGTCCTTGGAACTTTCGTTTCTTTCCAGCTTCCTCTCACCAACTCACACACGTTTCACACTTACTGCTCGTTTCAAACTTGACCGGCTCTAGAATAAGATTTATGTCTTTGTAACTTTCAGTGATCTCTTCACTGAAAAACAAACTACCCCCAGATTTCATGGCCTCGAATAACAATCATTTTATTCCATCTCATGCTTTATTCCATCTCACGGTGCCATGGCTCGTGAACTTGGGCAGGGCTTGGCTACATGGTTCCTCTGCTCCGTGTGGCTTTGACCGGGGTCACGTGGTGGCATTCAGGTGGCCATTGCACTGGTCTGGAGGATCACAATGATTTTGTTCCTGTGGTTGGAGCTCAGGTGGGATGACTGGAAGGTGGGGCCCAGCCGAGACCCTCCTCCTCTGCGGGTGGTCTCAGGGAGTCTCCATGAGGTCTTCTAGAAGAACTTCTAGGAGTCCAGGTGTCCAAGGAAGAGGCTACCTCTCCTCTTAAAGACTGGGCTCAGAATTGACAGAGCATTGCTTTCACCTATTCTATGGATCAAATGAGCTACAGGACCATCCCGGCTCAAAGGGAAAGGAAATAGACCCCATCTCTTGAGGGGAAGACTGTCGGAGAAGTTGCAAGTATCTTTCACCCGCTGCGCTGACCCCGTACAGAGAGTAGCAACCTTCAGCTCCGAGTGGGTGTCCCTTAGTGTCAGCCCATAACCGGTGCCCCAACTAAAGGTAAATCAGACTCAGCCTCCGTCTTCCACTCGCTCAGTGTCTGCTGGAGGAAGAGACTTATAATTTGCATCTCAACAGTATACTGTTTCCACGAATCTAGACATACTGAGGGCACTCTTGGAGCAAAATCTGGAGAATCCAGATTTTGAAAAATACCTCAGGACTCACTTCTTACAGAAAGGTAGTTCTGAAAGTTTGGGGACAGCCTGCCCCTTGCGTTGGGCCCCTTGGGTGAACGGGCACGTCATTCCAAGGGGATCTGCCTGAAACAGGACATTCTTTGGAGCCCCCCAATATTTATAGCAGGGATGTCTGAATGAATCAGACTGAGATAGGAGCAGGCTAAGAGGCATAGTATTTTCTTTTATTCCTGTTAGGGCCACCTTTGTTGTGTTCCAGTGTGTCCTGGGGTTTGACAACTACCTCTGCACTGTGTCTTCACCCTTGGTGAGGCAGCGTGGTGCAGGGTTCAAGGGCATGGGCCCTGTAACCCATGCTTTCTTAATAATTCTCAACTCGCTGGGTATTTATTGTGAGGGGGACATGAAACGCTATTTAGAACTGCCAGACGGAGAGGGGGCACTGAACATGCGTTAGTTCCCTTCCTTTGATTTTGACTTCTCAGCCTTGCGACTCCGGGAGAAATGGCCCTCGACGGAATCACCTGCCAAAGTCAGTCGCCAGGTTATTTTTAAGATGAACTTATTTGCTTCAGCCCACTAAGACCTTCATGCAAAAAGAACTCCCTGGGAGGCAATGGGATGTGCTGGGCTCAGACAGTATCAAGCATCAGGAGAAAAATGTCCGATTTTTGCACAGGGCTGTTGGGAGGCTGCCCACCTTGGTGCCAGGTAGCCCGGTAGG